AATGGCACGAAGTCCAGGTTAAATCTCTACTACACATTGTTGCACAGCTCCAGAAGCAATGTCATGCCTCCCCAAATTCCTGATGTTCACTTAATGAAAGTAATAAGAAATGTGGCATATTTGACATATCCACTATGCTTTTGAAACTCAGTCCCGTTTTTTTTTTTTCTTTTTTTTTTTTTTTTTTTTTTTTTTTTTTTTTTTTGGTTGACATCTTTCTTACATTCCAGCTAATGGCAGGATTTGACTAGGGTAGAGTTTCAAAGATATCACAATGAGTGGCTTATTTGCAAACCATTACACCTTCTAGTCTGGTTGAGGTAGAAGTCTCTCCATTAGGACTATTGCAAGGGGGAACTAAATTGAATAGAAGGCACAAAATGGAAAAAGTAGCTGATTTTGAAATGCTTTATTAACATCAAACATCATAGTGTGGAGATCAAGACTAGTGTCCTCGTGTCTTCACAGAACAGTCATCACAAACAGCACAAGACATCTTAACTGCTTTCGTTGTGTTCACCACCCTATGAATTGTGGAGGGGACATGAAGGGAAACAGCAGAGGAAATTCAACAGCATCTGAAGGAAGCTGCAGGTAGGAAGGCAGCATACATGGTAACTCAAGTCGAACTGCACTATGCATTTCCAGGGTCTAGTGTTGTGAAAGCTGGGTTGAGAACTATAATTCAACACAACATTTGTTTTGCCTATGAGAGAAATACTTTCAAACTCACTTCTACATTCACTTATATGCAGTCTTATGAGAAAGTTTAGTATCAGGTGGTTGTCTTGTTAGCTATTCTGCCATTTTGATGGTAAAAAAAACTAATATTCATATATGTAGTCACATAGTAAATGGAAATTAGAATTTCTGAATGAGGAATACAGGTATTAGCTGGTTTTGCCTTAAAGGAGAACAAAGCACAATCATTTCTTTCTTTCTTTCTTTCTTTCTTTCTTTCTTTCTTTTTTTTTTCGAGAGGCAGGGTTTCACTGTGTAGCTTTGGAGCCTGTCCTGGCACTCGCTCTGGA